AAAGTGTTGTAAACAAAGCAAGGAGAGAAATAAAAACCCCAAGAAAGTTTTCCTGGGAGGCTTTTTGCAAAAGGCTTGTAAAGCTCTCTAGCTACCAACAAACCTGGCGTTCTGTTTCCTTTCCTGTGTCGTCACCACAAGCTTCTAGTCTAAATAGACAAGAGATGGGAGAGAAAACGGAGGCAGGGAATTGCCTAAGGACACCCAGCAGTAACAGAGCTGGGACTAGAAACAAGTCTCCCGACTCTCATACCCTACCCACTAGAACTGTCTTTTGCAGCTTGCTTCCTCCAGAGAAGGCCGAGAATGTGTCTCCCCTGCCTCACCATGCAGATTTTACCCTCGGCTCCCCCTCACTGAGAGGAGCTCTGTGTCTCCTGGCTCACGGCCGGGAGAGCATCGGGACTGGAAAAAATCCTTTTTTCCTTTGGCAGGAAACTCAACTTTTGCCCCATTGTTAAACCTCTTGGAAGGCAACGGGCCTATGCCATTCCTCTGAGGGGGCTTGTATGTGCCAGCCTCTAGCGAAGCCCGCTGAGCCACAGAACAAGGAGAGGACAAGTTTGTCCTGGTCTAGTGGCTGGTTCTCATAAGTACAGCCTGCTACAATGTCTAGTTAATGGAGTTACTCCCTTAGTTCCAGCAGCGGAGCTGTGTGCTTTCAGCAGACAGGGCCTGGGTTTGATTCCTGCGGATGACCCAAGCTGGTTCCTTTGTGATGCCAGCTCCTTCCCCTGCCTTAGCAGCTGCTGAGGGTTCGGTTAATGGGGTTCCAGAAACTAATGGGCTTTTTTGAGCCCAAGCTGGATTAAAGATTGTCCAACACAGAGTCCTCGGCTCTGTCTCAGCCCAGTTTGCTTTGCAAAGACCTGACCTGCCCCCACCTCAAAGCTCTGCTACGAAAGAGCATCTTGGGCTCTGATTGCAGCTGCAGGTTTGGGGGGATGTTGCAGCTTCTAATGACATCCCCAATGCCCTACGCTCGTGCCTCAGTGGAATTAAGCAGCATGGCAAGAGACATGGTGACCTTCAGTCCCCAGGCTCAGTTTCCAATGTGTAAGACAGGCTGGGAGTCAGAACAGACACTGCCCGGGCGTGGCGCAGAGAAAGAGCGAGAACTCAGGGCAACCTGGTTAGTTTCACCCTCCATGAATGCGGGTTAGTGTCAGAGATCCTGGGTAAGCTCAGTGGCCGTGCATTAACAGCATTGCCAACGCCAAGTAATCAATAAAAGCCCCAAACCGTGAGCCAGGCTCCAAAAAATTCACAAGATTGGTTTAAAATTCACAAGATTTTAAAAAAAAAAATCCATTTTGGCTTCATTTTGTTTGACTCTGGTTTGGGAGCTGTCGGTCACCCGAGCGTAACATTTGTCAGTTTTTCCTCCACCACGTGGGCCAGGCCCTAATTTTGATTTTAGCCAAAAGTGGAATCACGTGACTCTGGGAGGTGGGGCTTTAAGGCAACGACACACATTAGCAAAACTGCAGAAAAGCCAGAAACATCATGCCTTTGCCACGACTGTTTCCAGCTCCCATTGTACCTGTGCAGATCTGAGATGTATTCTTTTGACTCTTCCCAAATCCCCAACTGCATTTACACATGTAACTCCCTGGCATGTTGATGCAGTTCCCGTGGGGCTCACAGATTGTGGCGTTTCGCTGGCACTCGTCAATGTCTGCAAGGAGAGAGAAAGCGCTAGGTCAGGCTGATCGAGGAGCTGTACCTTGGGCACTGGGGTGATGCTGCTGGGGGATAATCCAGGCGTCCGACATGCACCGTGCTCTGGGGAATGGGGCTGGTTAGAGCCAGGAGTTCAGTTACTGGGTCAGCGAACGGGAGCGAGTTGGCTATTGTCCGGAATGAGCCGCTCCAGCTGGGAAGGGAAAAGCAGCCCTGCCAGGACACGCACCTGCTGCTTGCTAAAGCTACCAAGCGGATCTGGCGATGCCCAGTGCCACAATATCAGTGCAGACGGCAATGCCTGAATGAGCCGCCTGCCCCTGGAAGGGACAAATGGGGAGCTGCTTTAGATGAAGGGGCTAGAGAATAACATGCGGGCTCGTCTAATGCCTGGATATCAGTCAATGGGGTGACCTCCTCTGCAACCCATGAGCTGCCCTGGGCACCCCCTTGCACACAGGACAGTGCAGAACCAGAGGGGTTCAGAGACAGGCAATGAGAATGATCAGGGTCCTGGAAAAACCCTCTATGGAGAGAAACTGAAAAGACTGGGACTGTCACCTGAGAGTGAACGTAAGAGGGACATGTTAAGAGTCTATAAATGACTGATGGGGATAGAGAAGGGAGATAGGGAGCTTCTGTTCTCCCCACCTCATAATACTAGAGCAAAGGCTAGTCACAAAGTCAGAAGAAGGGAAATTCGAAACGGAGCCAAGGAAAGGCTGTTTCACGCAATGTGCGATTAGCCTGTGGAACTCCCCACCACAGGAGTCACTGAGGCCAAGAATTTAGCAAGATTCAAGGAGCGACTGGACATTCCTATGGATGATGAGAACAGCCAGAGTGATCATAGTTAAAGGGCACAAACATTTGGGAAGAGAGAGAAAACCTCCTGTTGTGCGGCTTCAGCCCAGCTGAGTATTAGAGACCAGGAAGTGAGGGCAGATTATCCCCCGGCTGCCACTGCAGGGCTCTTCCACCGTCCTCTGCAGCATCTGGCTCTGGCCCGTTGGTGCCGGGATACCAGGCTAGATGGGCCCCATCTGTACTGTGCAAGTGCCAGCGTTACTTGTGTCTCAGCCTGGCCAGTGGCATGGTTTTGCCTCTTCAGAGGCTGAGCTGCTCCCGGGGCAGACTGACCCCTGTAAGAACCGACCGGCTGCATCCTGCCAAGTGCAGCCTCCTCCGCCCCTCGACCCTGCGACACTCGCGGGTTCTCCTGAAAGCACCAAGGCGGCTCCGTGTTTCCAGAACCTGCTTTATTCCGGAAACGACGTACAGTCGGGTTCCGCACCCGAAGGCTTCCAAGAGTCCATGTGGGATGGGAACGGAGCTTCCAGGACCGAGGCCGGGGTGCCCAGCACTGCAGCTATTCCCTGCCTCCCAGGACCCACGGAGGAGTATCGGGATATGTCTGGGGCACACTGTGCTGTGGCTAGTCTCTCCTCCCCAGGGCCCATAGGGGACAGAGCGCACTGTGCTATTTCCATGGCCCAGACACGAGGCCCCTTCCCAGGCTCAGGGGGACACTAGCAGCCCAGATGCTGTGTGCTGGGGCAAGTGAGAGTCCCCTCCCCTCTCTGCAGCTGATCACTGGAGCACAAGGCATTTGCTCAGAGGGTCTGTTTATTCCCCATCCAAGCACCGGACATAGGGGTGAGCCCGGCCCCATGCTCTGCAGGAGCAGGCAAGGGTCACGTCTCATCACAGCCTCGCTGAAGGCCCCGGGCCACTGCCAAAGCTGGTAGCAGCACCGGTGCAGCCCAGGCCTGGAATAAGCATTTGTGTGTGTGTGTGGGGGGGGTGTCTCAGCAGCTGGGGTGAGGGAAGAGCTCACCCTGGCAGTTCTTCTCACTCGTGTGCGTGAAGTTGGCTTTCCCAGAGCTGGGCTCGTAGCCATCGATGCAGGTGCAGGAGTAATTCCCAGGCACATTGGTGCAGTTTGCGTGGGATCCGCAGTCTGCCAGGCCCTGACACTCGTCAATATCTGCAGCACAAGAGGGGACGCTCTGTACAGTCCTACCAGGGAGACGTTCCTGTATCACGCACCTGTACTGAGCTGGGTGACGGGACCCAGGCGACCAGGCCTCTGGGAGCTTAACAATCACAGGCCTGATTCTCAGCTACACTCAGGCGGCACTAGGCTGCTCTGGCAGCGGAACGGCCACTCGAGAATCCCCCACCCTGCAAAAGGGGCCACCCCAGCAGGTGTGGAGCTGCTGTAGGGGTCCTTTACCCATCCTGCTCTTAGCCACTGATGTAGGGGCCGAGGCCGGGGTGCCCAGCACTGCAGCTATTCCTTGCCCCCCAGGACCCATGAGGGAGGATCGGGGGTGTGGCTGGGGTACACTGTGCTGTGGCTATTCCCTGCTCCCCAGGGCCCATAGGGGGCAGAGCGCACTGTGCTATTTCCATGGTCCAGACACGAGGCCCCTTCCCAGGTCAGGGGGACACTAGCAGCCCAGATGCTGGGTCCTGGGGCCAGCGACGGTCCCCTCACTCTCCCCAGCACATCACTGCAGCACAAGGAGTTTGCTCTGTGGGTCTGTTTATTCCCCATTCAAGCACCAGGCATAGGGGTGAACGCAGCCCCATGCTATGCAGGAGCAGGTGAGGGTCATGTCTCAACACAGCCTTGCTGACGGCCTTGGGACACTGCCAAATCTGGTAGCAGCATCGGTGCAGTGCCAGGTCTGGAACGAGGATTTGTGTGTGTGGTGGGGGTCTCAGCAAGTGGGGGCAGGGGAGAGCTCACCCTGGCAGGTGTTCTCACTCGCGTTCGTGAACTTGTCTTTCCCAGAGCTGGGCTCGTAGCCATCGATGCAGGTGCAGTAGTAATTCCCAGCCACGTTGGTGCAGTGTGCGTTGCGTCCACAGTCTGGCGGGCTCGGCCCCAGACACTCGTTAATATCTGTAATGCAAGAGGGGACGCTCTGTACAGTCCTGGCACTGAGACATTCTCCGTATCACCCACTAGACCTCCGCACTGAGCTGGGTGATGGGACCCAGGTGACCGGGGCCCTGAGCAGTTCCTGATTAAGGGCCTGATTCTCAGTTACCCACTTCTGCTGCTGCAATCTCAGAAACAGCCCCATGAGCCTCGTGTCCCAGGTACGGGGGGTTCGGCCCCACAAACACCAGATCCCCCATGTGCGGGGAGGGGGGGAGACGTCCCCTGGGTCTCCAGGCTCCCTGTGTGTTGGGTGGGGGGGGATGACAAGCTGCCTCTCCTCCGCCCCCTCCCTCCTTGGATCCCTGCAGGGTGCGGGGGCGGGAGGGGAGTATAGCCAGGGCTGCCCCATTCTGCTCCTCTGGGAAGGGATCTATGGGGCCCCTCTGCCCCAGGACACCCAGGGGCTGACTAGGGCCCAGGCTGGGGTTCAGACGAGTCAGTGTGATGGGCCCCCCCACCCTGTGCCCAATCCACAGAGCCCAACACTCCTGGCTCCTGCTGCAGCCGCTCCTGCTGCTCACTCTGGAGGCCCCGGTTCGATCCCCAGGAGGGCGGCGCTCACGCGTGCTGCTGCCCCCCTCATTCCCCAGCCGGGCTGAGCCCCCCCCAACAGGCCCTGCAGTCAGTGGAGTTGGCTGTTCCATCCCTTAATGCCCTGCTCTATCCCAGCCCCCCAGGACAACGTGGGAGCCCTGTTACCGTTACAGATCTCCGTTGTGTCAGTGAAGAAGAAGCGATTCCCATCTGGCTGGTATCCATCCAGGCAGGTGCAGTGGGTGTTGTTCACACACTTGGCGTTTGCTGGGCATAGCAGATGGCTGTTGCAGTCCTCAGTGGTACCTGCAGGGGCAGGAACAGCTGGCCAGGGTCAGCCAGTGCAGAGCGGCTCCCCCCCACACCCACACACAGTGGGATCGACTCCTTTCACACGCCCCATTCGCTGATTTTCATCCCTGGGTGCCTGGCAAACAGCTCCGATGCCATCCACCACCTGGCAACAAGCTGCCCTCGGCTGCACAGGGGCCTTGGCTCCCCGGGGAGCCCCCGGCACAGACAGGCAGAGCCGCCGGAGCCGGGCAACAGTTCAAGAAAAACATTTTCAGTCTGACTCAGTTTTTCTCCTTTTTGTTGCTGTCATTAGCGTCGATTTCAAACCGAAACCTCGCTTTGAACCGGAAATCGGGAATTGTTCGTTTTGAACATTATTTCATCCCCCCCCACCCTCCCCAGCCAATTTTTTCCCAGTAAAACCAAACATTCCTCTGAACCGAATCGGCATTTTCTGGCAAAAAATGGTTCCTTGGGAAGTTCCTGCCTGGCTCTGCTCTGGATTGACTGAGAGCGGAGTCGGGCCCGAGGCTAGTTTGCATCCTGAGCTGCCTCCCATGACCCAGACTGTGACCTGCCTACGGGGGCTCCTGGATCCTTTAGCTGCCCGGTGTCTGGGGCTCCGCTGGGATCCGTCCCTCTGGCCAGCGTGACGGGAAGGATCCCAGCGCAGCTTAGCCGGCTGCAGGGCTTGGGACGGGAGCAGACGGAGCAGGGTGGGAGCAGCACTGGGGGACCCCAGTGGGTCAATGGGAATTTGCCCAAATCCCATCTTGGGATTCGCAGCAGAGCTGGGCTCGGGGCGCAGAGTCTGGATCCCAAACACCCCCCAGCTGGGCACGTGGGTCCTAGGTTTCAGTTTAGCCCAATTTTAGATGAGGGGGCACCTACAAATGCCACTTCTAACATCTGAGTCATTAGGGGTTTGATTCGGGCTGGTCAGTAACAAGTCCCTTGGCTACAAAGGGGATCTGCCCCTCACTCCAGCCCCCAGTGTAGAGCCCTGGGCCCCAGTGTCGATTCTCTGCTGGCCATGGGGCTGGAAAGGGAAGGGGCGGGCTACAAAGGTGCCTTCTCCTCTCCCGTGCACGCACCCACCGTGCTCTATAAACCCACCCCAAGATGTCCACGCCCAGGGGCTGCTCCCGGCTCGCCAGACCCCTGACTCTGCTCTCCTCCCACAAGGGAAAGGGACCGGAGGGGGCGGAGGCTGGAGACCCCGGGCAGCCGGGAGAATTCGGGAAGGTTAGCCAGGAGGAGTCAGCCTTACCTTGTACGCCATGATTCTGGGCCACAGTGCCCCCCAGGCACAGGGCGATGCAGAACCCTGGAAGGCAGAGACAGGGTAAGGCACCATGGGGAGATCGTAACCGCCACTCAGCTGCACACACCCCCAGCCGCCCCCGTCCTGACAATCCTGGGCCAATCGCCAGTCAGTGATGTGAGGTGATGTGAAGAGGGGACGCAGCGTGCTGTGGAACCCCATTGTGCTTTCCTAGGAAGGCAGCTAGAAAGGGGGCACTTCTTTGAAATTCAGCTCTGGTCAGTCTCCCCCGGGGAGTCTCCATGGAGGACGAGGGAGCTGGGGAGGTGACGGCATCACAGTTCCCCTGGAAGCAAAGTCCGAGCCATTCATTCAGAGATTCTAAGGCCAGGAAGGGAGGAGGCTGATCCGGCCTCTCGCAGTGCACAGGCCAGAGAATGACCCAGGGATTCCTGCCTCCAGCCCATAGCTGGGGATGGAGCTAGCGCAGAGCTTGAGAGAGGACAGCCCGTCTGTTCGACTCCAAGTGATGGAAACGGCTGTTGTGTGTTCACACTGTCAGCTGCCTGTGCAATAGCATGTTCACACTTGTGACACTTGCAGTGGTATTCGGAGCGATGCACTCTGGGCACCTATCCCACAGAGCACCTCTTTCTCTTCTGCCGCTAAGAGTTGTGGGAAAGCAGAGAGGGTCTGGGGGAATCCTGGGTCCTGCCCCAGTACCCCATTATGCATTGCTTCGCATCCCAGCAATCCCTGTGCTTCTGTCTGCATTTGGCGCCATCTTTCAACGGTTTGTGTATTGCGTGGCCTGCCTCTTTGGGCTGCAGGAATTAATCCCGAACTGTTGACTAATATGCGGCTTGCATTGACCAACACGTCATGAGTGGCAGTGAAGTTATTTCTTAAACTACAAAGGGAAGGGGAATGTGACATTGATCTCGCCACGCGTAGTAGCTACGATACAGGTTGCTTGTGGCCTTCACGGAGGTGCTGACCACAGTAGAATGCCATTTTTGGGCTCAGGAAACAAGCTCTGAGTGGTGGGATCACATCGTGATGCACCTCTGGGATGACAAGCAGAGGCTGCAGAACTTTTGGATGAGGAAAGCTACATTCATGGGACTGTCTGATGAGCTCGCCCCAGCCCTGCGGTGCAAGGACATGAGAATGAGAGCTGCCCTGCCGCTGGAGAAGCACGTGGTGATTGAACTGTGGAAGCTGGCTACTCCAGACTGCTACCGATCGGTCGCTAACCAGTTTGGAGCGGGAAAGTTGATCGTTGGACTTGTGTTGACAAGTCTGCAGGGCCAGTAATCGTATCATGCTCCAAAAGATCATGACTCGGGGCAACATGTAGGACATTGTGGATGGCTTTGCACAAGTGGGCTTCCCTAACTGTGGAGGGGCAATAGATGGCATGACTATTCCAGTTCTGGCACTAGACTACCTAGCCACTGAGTACATTAATCACAAGGGGTATTTCTCAATTGTTCTCCAGGTGCTTGTGGATCACTGTGGGCGTGTCACAGACATTAACACAGGCTGGTCTGGAAAGGTGCATGACACACACATCTTTCGGAACACTGGCCTGTTCAGGAAGCTGCAAGCAGGGACTTTCTTCCCAGACCAGAAGATCAGCATAGGGGAAGTTGAAATGCCCATTGTGATCCTGGCAGTCCATGCCTACCCCTTAATGCCGTGGCTTATGAAGCCAAAGATGGGGCAACTTGACAGCAGCAAGGAGCGGTTGAACAACAGGCTGAGCAAGTGCAGAATGACTGTTGAATGTGCTTTTGGCCATTTAAAAGCCCGCTGATGCTGCCTCTATTGTGAAGTGGGACCTGGTCAATGACAATATTCCTATGTTTATAGCCGCATGCTGTATGCTCCATAATGTTTGTGAAGGGAAGGGTGAAAGCTTCACTCAAAGCTGGATCGCAGAGGCTCAGTGCCTGGAGGCTGAGTTTGAACAGCCAGAGACCAGGGCTATTAGAGGGGCAGCGCGGGGCCATAAGGATCAGGGATGTCTGGGGGGCGCATGGGAAAGTGTTTTGCAACAGCAGCTGCAGGGGAGGGCGGGCATGGAGCTGCTCAGTTTGAAGAGCTAGTATCCCCTGGAGCGTGTCTGCTTGGCGCTCCATAACCTTTAGGAGCCGCTCCATGGCTTCATTCTGGCGCGCCCCGTTCTCCTTCGGTCCCTCTTCTCGCTGGCCCGCCACTCCTGCAATTCCTGTTTCTCGGCGGCAGAGTGCATCATAACATCACGCAGAAAATCCTCCTTAGTTCTTCTTGGCCGCTTTCTAATTCTGCACAACTGTTCAGCCGCCGATAACCAAGAGGGAGGCTGGGCTCCCAGGGTCACCTCTGTGAAGTTTAAACACAACATTTTATGGAAGCAGGATTGTTTGCAACACAGAGAGCACTGATTCAGTGCTTTAAACACAGCCAGTACTCACACACCTGGCACTAACTGGCTGACCCCAGGTAAGCACACATGAGCCACAAGACCCCCAAAATGGTGAGTAGCCGCAGGGGCAGGGTAAATCACTCTTCTCGCACCCTGCTGTACTCTGGGCATGTGGCTCTTGGGGAGAGCCAGCACTGTAGGGAGGGGTTGATAATAATTCCTTTCCCCACACTTTCCACAGGATGTGATCATTATGGAAGATATCTCACTGCTGAGGGTCAGCAGGGAATCAAGGGAGGGTCTTCTCCAAAACGGCGACTTCTGCCCTGGCCCCTATGTGGCTCACCTGTGTGCAGCAATGCCCGCCCCCCCCATGACGGCACAGTGGTGCGGGAAAGTTACTGTTAATGGGGCAAGAAACAAAGCAGCTCTGCCTAAGAACCTGCAACAGTTGATTGCCCAGTATCTCCACGAGAGTTTCCTGGAGATCTCTGAGGGAGATTCCCCTGACGTGAGGGAGTCAATCAACAGCCTGTTCCGCTGCTCAGACTAAGCATGTGGTGGGCAACAAGTCTTCTTTCTGCAACACTCCTTCCCCCAGCAACTCACTTGAGTGATTCCCAAAATCAAATCCACTTACCAGGGGCCTTCTCTCTTGTTTGCACTTCGCCAACATCTGACAGCTGTGACTTGCC